AATACACAGATGGGATTTTATAATATGTAATTTTATTCTTTTGACATCCCCTCCAGCATATAGCCTGCTGTGAGCAAAAAAGAACTTATTTTTATTTGATATATGTTCATTCATTTTGATTCAAAATGTCGACTGGATGCAATATCCTTAGTGAGTTAAAATGTTTTGATAATCTCTAATTTCGTTCATAAAGAAAATCTTTCTAATTACGTATTCATAAGTACACACACACAATCTCTTTTGTAAACATAGACATGTGTTCGTGAAGATAGAAAAAGCGTCAAAGCGGAAGTAAAAAGAGAGAGAGCGAGTGAGAGAAAAAAAAATTTAAATATAAAAGAGAGGATATTTAAACGGTTTTTCAAGAGGACACTTCAATATAGAAATGATTGAACTCAGCAGTTAGTCATGCATTAATGTCATTTGTTTGATCTTTTCATGTTTTTCTATTCCTTTATCCTAGAACTTACAAGCGCATGTAAACGTATCAATAAAGATACTTGTTATGAATTTGTAACCTATCGTCATGCAACACCAGATTTATTATCAACACAAAAGAAATCAGCAAAATTTAATATATTAGTATGAATTTAATAAAATTTTTGTTTAATTTTCCTATGTGTACATGTATTTTAGCGTTCAAAAATTTCAAATTATAAACAAAGAAGTAAAAGTGCATGTCGATTATCGACTCGTATACGACCAAAAATCGAATGTTCATCGCCCACGGCAAATATTCATAATAATGAACAATCATTATTCGAACATCTGGCACATGCGACATCGAATACACCAGCTAATCTACCAATGATTGTAAAACAATCATATAAACCTTTACATGCTAAGTCAACACAATTTAATAAGAATACAATTGCTGTAACAAAAGGTATATATTGCCACTTTGTTCTATTTGAACAATTCTTTCGATTGTTTGATTTTTATTTTTCAATTGAACGACTACTGTTTAATTGCTTTCATTTTTGACACCTTCTCTTCTATTGCTTTCGTCTTATTTGTTAAGAAGAAGAAGAAGAACAATACGATGTAACAATCATTATTTAAGTCAATATTTCCTTTTGAAAGTCTTTATATAGGAAACTAAGCCGATCATGAAAGATAGTTAAATAGTTTTTATTTGCATTGAATATTTCATATGATTGACAAATTAATTGGGAACAAATATAGGAGTGTGATTTGTATGTAGATATTGACAATATTACCTGATTTTTATTCAAATGTCTAGACGTTTGTTAAACAAGAAAATAAATTTTGAAATATATAGAATTTTAATAGATTACACCTTGAAATAAATCGAGTTAATGTGAAGAATAGTAAAATATGAATGGAGTAATATGATCACACTTGTAGAATTTGATGCGAAATTATTTAGAGATCGTGTGATTCGTTTAGAGACCACCTGTGGATCAAACTTACATAATTACATCAGAAAAATGACATTTGTCACTTCCTTTTCTTCCATCTGATCATGTAATTATCGATCAGTATATATCATCACGATCGAATCGATTATATCACAATTAAGATCTGACATCTTGTTTTCTCTATATATTTAGATACAACTGTCAACGCTCTGTATGCAATATCAAATTGGGTTTTTATTGAAATCAGTGGAACAGATCAAACTGGTTTTGTACCTATTTATTGTCTTCGTTTACCAGGTCAACCTATAGAGCCGTCTTCTTCTCAAAATAATTTAAGTTTATTAAATGTAAGCATCTATGAAAAATCTCAACCAGTTATCGATACATCAACACCTCCACCGCCGGGTCGTTTTATTTCTTCAATTGGACCATGCCATTTTAATATTGAACAAACATCTCTCACATGTCCACGCATAAATAAATCTCGAACATATACACGTCAAAATAAAGATCAATCAAATTTATCTCGACAAATATCGAATATGTCACTTCATGCTTATGATCATGATGCTTACGGAACACTCAATCTGACGCCATGTAAAAGTTTATCATTTAGTGTATTAGATAATGAGCCGATTATTTATCATTCGAATAGTCGTCTACGTATTATTGAAAATTATCAACGACAATTTGTTGGTGATATCAGTGTACTTGAATCTGAAGTTGTTACACTTGTAAATACAACACAATCAGATAGTGATTGGCGTTTTATTCGACGTGGTGATGGACGTCAAGGTTATATACCAAAACATATTGTTGTACTTGATCAAAATTTTAATTAATCCTAAACTTTATGTATTTTTTTGTGTACATGTGAGATTTTATTTCTCAAAAAAAAAAACAGAAATTCAAAAGCAAAAATGAACAATTCTTTTTCTTTTTCAAAAGATTATTTCATATCGAATAGACGGAACAAAAAAATATCAATTATATTTTTCTATGTTGTTGATGAACGTCCAAGCAATTCATCATTGACATCTATTATATGTATTGCATATTGATTAAATGTTGTTGTTGATGAAGAATTTTTATTCGTTTTTAATCTTAACATTTCTTCACGAAGTTTAGCTAATAATGCATGATTTGGTTCATTCTTTTTTGCTCCACGTACAATATCAGCTAGTTCATCATCAACACGAACACGTTTATATGTATCAGCATTTTTTTCATATAATCGAATTAATGAACCATATGTATGCAAATGTGGATGAAGTTTTTTTAATAATTTTTGAGCAGCTAAAATGAAAATAAAACATTTAATTTGAGAGAAATGAACTTTTACCTATATTTTTTGCATGAGCTTTATCTTTTGCTTGAGCTTCTTCTCTATGTTCAGTTCCTATTTCTAATGTTATATGTGTAAACATTGGTTTTTTGGTCATTGTTAATTTAATACTTGATTCACCACGTGTCAATGCATTGTATGTTAAACTTTTTTCAAGCATTTGATACGGTGTTGGCTTTCCAAGTGCAACACAAACATCATAAATATTTGCATCTGATATACTATATTCATCAAGTAATGAACTATTTGCTGGTTCTTGATTATTTAAATCATTATTATTATTATTATTGTTATCATTTACAATTGGAATAGGTTCATCTTCATCATCAATACAACCTTCCTCATCAGCAGATTTATCTTCAGTATTTGATTCTTTATTTACAATTTGTTGTTGTTGTAGTTGCTGTTGTTGCTGCTGCTGTAGTTGTTGTTGTTCCTGTAATTTTTTATATTGTGGTAAAAGAATAATAAGTGATTCTTCTGTCGCATTTAATTTTGCTGTACGTTTATTTCGACCAATACCTGTACCATAAACAGTATCACCAACAAGTACTCGACAACCAAATGGTGAATTGGATACATCTGTTGTAAACCAATCATATCGAACAGCTGCTTTTAAACGTTTAAGTGCATATTCTTGTAAAAGTGCAATTGGACTTTTACTTGGATATAAATCAATTGTTACTTTTTTATTATTTGAATTTATTGATTCAGGTATTGCGGTAGTTGATAATTTAATTGATGGTTGTGGTGGAGTATCTGTTGTTTTAAGTGTTGCTGATACAACAACAGATTGATCATTTGCTGTTAATGGTTGAAGTTCGATAATTTGTGCATCAGCTGGTGTATTCATTTCACGACGTTTCATTTGTGCTTGACGAATATATTTCCATTTATCACTAAGCGATGGAAAATATTTAAATTCACGTTGTTCAAATGCAAATCGACGTTGACAATACGAACGTAATCCATCCGATGTTAATGTACTAAAACGAAGTGCATCATCTAATGTTGAATTTGTTAAGATTTGTAATGAAACTGGTAATTGTTGAGGTTTTGTTGAACGTGTTGATGATGATGCTGTTTCTATTGGTTCTGAATTCATTTGTATAGAAGGAGAAGGTGATGATTCTTCGAGATTTATACCCGTCGTAAGATGCGGAGAAGCTATTTCACCTTCTTCAACATCATCTTCACTTCGTTTTCGTTTTCTACTTGATGGTGAATTTGAATTTTCTTGTTGTGTCATTTTAAACGGACATTTTGATTCATTATTTGTTACTGATGATGATGATTCTTCTGTTTCATCTTGTTCTTCTTGTAATCGTTTCATGTATAAACAAGGTATAGATGTAACCGGTATTAAATGATGACGAACACTGACTGACCCAAGAAAATAGGGACGTGATAATGTAACAACACGTGTTTGTTTATGGAAATATAATGGAAATCCACTTGTATGAAATACTTCACACCATCCATCAGGTAAAGTATGTTTATGTTTATCTTGCCAATAACCTTTAACTGTCCAACGATGATAAATTTTTGGTTGTCCTGTTGGTTGTTGAGTTTGAGATGTATCTGTGGATTTATCTCCTAGAGTTTCATCCATTGAATCTTCCAAATCATCGCCTTCCATTCTACAATCAGAAGAAAAAAAAATCAAAATCAATCAGTCATATTAATCTTTTAATAAGAATTTTCTTGTTTATTAATAAAAAACAAAAATATATCATGGAAAATTTATTTTTGTGCGTTTTCACAAATGCCACTACAAGCGCCTGATGCTTTTGCTTGTCCTTCAGGATTTGCTGCATCTTTTCCTTGTTTTTTCTCCCATTCCTCCGGTGTATAAGTCTTTTGAGTAAATGCATGAATTTTCGTCATTTCCTCTTTCAATAAATCATTTACTAATCTATAAATATAAAAGCAAAATAAAGTGAGAAATATAATCTTTATAAACATACCGTTGTCTTGCAAGTAATTGTTTACCTTCAAATTTTTTTGATACAATTACTGAATCAAATTTCAAACCACAACCACTTGAACAATCTTCAACAACCTGAAATAAAACAAAAATATGTAACCTTTATTTATCTAAGACAAAATTTTCTTACTAAATAAGTTGGATCAAATTCATCTCGTATTTTTTTTTCAATATTATCTTTATTAATTTCCATTTTATCTAAAAATTAAAAACAAGAGATAAAAAAAATGCATCAATTTATGTTAATCTCTTGGCAATATTTATAAGGAACAGTCAGATTAATAACTACAACAGTATAAAATCTGTAGTATTGCATTATTAATACTTCATTAATATCCTTTATCATATTGGTAAAAAAGAAAAACAATAAATTGAATTAAAATAGAACATTTTTTTTCGAAAATCTCTCATGATAAATTGTATTATAAACAAACCACGCCAGTTATTTGTTTACAAATAAATTTACCAAAGTTCACCTTCAGTATCTTGTGTTGGAACCTCAACAATTCTTGGTTTATCGATAATTTTTGCTGATCGATCGCCTTTTTCTACAACACCTATAATCCATGCTTGATAACCTTCTTGTGCTTGAATGTCTTTACAAAAAGCAGCTGCTTGATCATGTGGTAAAACTACAAGTAAACCACCGGATGTTTCTGCACTTGTACCTCGTAATAAACCAAATGCACCATTACAAGTTGTACTTATTAGAGCCATATTAGCTATAATTGGTAAAGTATGTATAGCAAATGAGACTTCACTTTTTTGATGTTTAGCTAAATTGTCAGCATGTCCTAGTATGCCAAAACCAGTTACATCTGTACATGCATGTGCATTATATTTATGCATAAGAGATGCACCTTAAATAAAATAATAGTTTATTAGATAAATATTTAATTCAGTAGATAAATTATACCGATTTTATTTAATCGTGACATGGAATTCATTGCTCGTTGATATGCTTTTTGAACATGATCTTCAGTTACAACAGATTTTATACGATCCCATCGATCTGGCTTTTCAAGCCATTGATGAGCGTTAACAGCAACCTTATTTAAATTAAAAGAAAATGTATATATTTATTTTCAATAGAAATTCAACAACTAACCTGTGTGCCTAATGGTTTTGTTAATACTAATACGTCACCGATCATTGCATTCTCTGGAATAATGACTTCATTTTGTTTACATACAGATGTAGCAACACCACCAACAATTAACCATGGATTAACTACAGTTTGACCACCTTGAACTGATGTACCAGCTTCTTCAGCACAATCCTATTTCATAATCAATTTTGCAAAAATCTTCTATCTCTTCTAATAAAATAATATTACTTTAAATCCCTGTAAGATTAATGGCATAATTGTATCACGTTCTTTTTCACTCATTTTATTACTTGTACTTAATAACATTAGCATATTATCAACTTCAGTAACACCCATTGCATAAATATCACTTAATACATTTGCACATGCAATCTTTCCCATCACATATGGTTCATCAACAAGTGGATAAAAGAAATCTGTTGATTGTACTAGAAAAAGTTCTCCATGACGTAAAGGTATAACACAAGAATCAAGTCCAATTCCTATGAAAAGTATTTTTTTTTCAAAAACAAAATTCTCCTTAATGGATATTAACATACCAACCACCGGTTTTGTTTTTGTCTCTGGCGTGAGTACGGAATGGTTAGTGGAATTTTGCTTGTCACCGTAACCGTTTTTTTCGGTAGATTCAAGCCCCTCGAGCAGACGGTGCAACACATCTCGAGGAACTTTACATCCTCATCCTTTAAGATCAGATAATTTCGTTAGACGAAAATCTTCTGATAAATTATAATCTAATGGATCAAATGGTTTTTTATACATTTTTAATCTACAAGATCAAAAAGAAAATGCGAAGAACATTTAAAATGTACATATTTAAAACAAAGGAAAAGAAGAAGAAGATAAAAGACTGATCTTCATCATTGGCACAAAAAAACGTGTATTACAATACAACAACCGGATTGAGTATCTTTTTTCGTATTCAAAAGAAAAGTTGTCGTGCATCTGCTGGACTTTGTTCTAAAAATTAAATTAAAAGTTACTCAATTTAAATGAATAGCATGATACTAACCTAAAGGACAGTACGGACATTTAAGTTTATTTTGTATAGATAATTTATTTAATGCATCTTTCGATATAACATGACCACAAACAAGTTTCATAGGTGGATTTTGATCTGTTGTTTGTTGTCGAAGAATTGGACAAGCAAATACACTGTGATAACGATGTTCTTGACCAACATCAATTTCTATCGGTAATTCATCTTTTGATAATATATGACATACCTGAGTATTTTGCATGGCATTCACTATGCTAAAATAATTTTTAAAGATTACTACACTATTATGTAACATTTTTCTTTCAAAATATTGAGTAATTACTTTTAAAAACTACGTCTGAATTATAAAAACTGATTATACACTTTCGAATATTTTTTCCGGAATTATTATGTCATAATGAAGGGTAATACCGTATGCTATTATAATTTATCTGTCAAAAAAAGCGAGGTATGTTCTTGACAGAAACATTCGTATTCATCTATGAATAGTTTACCTCATTAGAGCAGGTAATGCTTGAAAGCCAGTTTTCATTAAAACATAAAGTGGACTATCTTGTGCAAGTCCCACTTGTTGGAATGCTTGTTGCATGAATAATTCTAATAATTGTAACCAAAGATGTGGTTCAAGTAAATATTTATAGGGTGATTTTGTTAAATCTCTTTGAGCAAAAACAAATGCACCCATTAATTCATTAACAGCTTGTTCACATTGACCATTTGAAATGGAATATTGTCTTAAATTTGACATATAAACTTTCGCTTCATCAAAATTACCTTTCTCTAATAATTGTACAAAACGCATTTTATGTAAATGAAATTCTAATAAACTTCCGGATTTATTTAATTCATTTCGATTTTTTTTACACCAATCAAGTGCTGGTAAAAGATTTTTTTCACGTAAATTTTCTAAGATTAAATTTATTTCTTCAAGAAAATCTTTTTCAACATTAAATAAATCATTATCATTTAAATTTGTTTCTTTAATTAATTGTTGAGCTATTGACATACGTCCTTGTCTATAGAGATCTTCACATATAATCATATAAATTAATTTTAATTTTTCCGGTTTATCAAATAATTCATTTATTGGAACATTACCAAAATCTGATTGAAAACATTTATCAATTACTTTACCAATTTTCGATATTAAACCATGTAAATCTTTATGTTTATCACTATATTTTTTTCCTAATAATTTTATTGAATCACGTACATTAACTTTTATATTGGAATCATCTGATGAATTGGAAATTATTGTTTGAATTTGTTCAATAACATTATCAAGATTTGTTTCAATATCGCTATAATATTCTTCAACGGATTCTATAGCTTTATCAATATCTTTTTCAACAAAACTTAACATATTATTTGTAGTAGACATACGTTAGACGTTATGTATGGTGACTTTAATTATAGATGACGGACCAAGATTAAAAAAGTACATATATGATATATGTAGAATAAACTGACCAATCTAAAATTGATGATGAGAGCCATCTGTCGGAAAATATGAAATTGAAGAAAAAAGATATTTTAAATTCATAAAAATGATTATTTCATAAAGAAAAGTGCTTTTTATAAATAGGAAAATATTATTTCAGATGAAATAATGATTTCTTTGTATAAGCGGGATAATGTGATTCATTGTTAAAAGACAAAGAACAAAAGGCTAATTTTTAGTAGTAATCAATAGCTTTGTTTTAATTGATGTTCATCATTTGATAGATAGAATAGGAATAGAAAAGGTAAAGTACTGTACCTTTGACCTTTTTCAGATTTATATATTTTTCAATCCAACCGGCCGACAATAAAATTAATTAAAAATATGTCGAGCCAAGTTAGTGATGAAAATAATGATAGTTACAATGATTTATTTAATTCACTTATGCCAATTGGTAGTCGTCTTGATTCCGGTTATTTAACATTTTCATCACCATGTACAACCTCGCCATCTCGTTTATCACCATCGAGTGTTATACTTAATCAACTTGATTCTCCTGTATCCGAACATGATATTCAATCTCCAATAAATGCTGCTAAACAAAAATTTGTTTCATCAATTGATTATGAACATTATCGAACATCAAGAAAACATTTCGATATATTAACACAAATCCATCATCGTAATGCCTATCATCTTATTGATGAAATTTTACGAAATTTATCAAATAATGATTTATATCATTGTTCATATGTATGTCGAAAATGGCATTTAATATTAAAGGATCATTCAAAACGTAAACAAACAAAGAATGTTAAACGAAATTTATTTAATAGTCATAATAAAACACCAATGAGAAAAACAAAATTAACGAGTACACCAATGCAAACAATAACGAATTTACTTGATACAAAAACAATTATACCTTTAATTATTGAAACAACAATGGATGAAAATATTCTTCCATCAACACCATCTCAACATCAGATATTTACATCATCACCAGAAAATAATAATGTTCATCTTACAGCAAGTACAATGACATTTCGTTATGGTTATTTAAAATATTTACATGGACCTACCGTACCAAAACGTTGTCCACTATGTGCTTATGTTTCAATTGTTGATGTCAATGATCAACATGGCGTTTGTACAAATCCATTATGTCGAAATAATTTTTGTCAATGTTGTTCTGGTCCGTATCATCCATCAAGTCCATGTAAAGCAACAACAGGTCCAATAAAATCTCCATGGCGTCAACGACCCGCTGTTTCTCCTATATTTTCTCATAAAACACGAGGTAATTTACGACGATTACTCATGTAATGAATGTATTTATTTACTTATTTATTTCTTATTAATTATTTCGTTTTTCTTTTGTTGTTATTATTATTGTTCTCATATATGAAACACTGATCATGTTTTAGCTTCTCTTCATCATCATCACCTTTTTTTTTACCTTCTTGTCAAAAGTCATGTCAGATATCTTTTTCGTTGATTGAATGTATGTGCGTGTGTATGTGTATATATTGAATACTGATTATTTTTCTTTGTATAAAATTTAAAACCTGTCGAGTCAAATGTTGTCATAATTGCCTGTGTTGTTATCTTATTAGTTTTTTTTTTGTTACTTTTCCCTTTTTTTTTATATTATATATACGGTATGTAGAAAACAAACTTGGATGCCAATAAAAACAAAAATCGTACATTGAAAAAGCAATAGATTTATTTTAAGCAATAGGAGAATTTTGAAAATGTTGAATTAACCATTGATTATGTGCTTGAACGAGTTCTAATGCTTGACGTTTGATTTGTTCATATTGACCTTGCGAATTTTGAGAACCTAGAGTTTCATCGAGAGTAAATAATGTTTGAGAAACACTTTGTAATTTCTTTTCAAGACCAACAAGCTAAAAGAAGAAAAAAGATAAGATTAAATTTAATCTTCATTGGTGGCGGATTCAGGAGGGGAATGGAAGCGGTCGCTCCCTCGCCCCTTCCGAATTTTTCTTTCATTTTGTAAACCCCTCCCCCCCTCCCAAAATAGAACGCCATCCTATAATAGAAGGCCACCCTGAATAGAAAGCCACCAGAAAAAGACCGATTCGTTAGATCGCAATAGAAGGCCATGCCTTTTTATTCTGGAAGGAGGGGGGGGGATTTATAGCAAAAGAGAGGTTCCCACTACTTCGATCGGACTCAAAAATAGTTTTAGCCGAAATCACCCCTCACCCTACTCAGGTATCGCCCCTCCCTTCTAAAATCCTAGACCTGGCACTGATCTTTATTCTTACTTGTTGATGTGTTTCATTATCTCTTAATTGATTTTGTGCAGCTTCAAATTGTGATTGTAATGCTGTAATTTCCGCTTTCGTAACTTGTCTTTGTTTACCCATATTGACTTTATCTGCAGCTAATTGTATTTTACGTTTTTCAGCTTTTCTCTTTAAACCTTCAATATCATTAAATTTCTCTAAATCTTCTTGCATTTTCGCATATTGTTTTTTTAATTCTTGAAGTTCATCGGTTAATTTTTGATCAAGTGTTTCAAGTTTAGTATAATCTTGTTTGACTTTACGATGTTGTTCAGCTAAAATTGCAAGTGTATCATTTGATTTTTTCTTTTCAGCTTCATGTTGATCAATATTTGTTTTTAATTGAGTATAATCATCACGTGTTAATACTCCATCACCTTTGACAAGTGTACGACTAATTAATGCTAATAAAGTTAAATTATTTTTCTGTATATTTTTAATATCATTTAAAAATTGGTCACGTGATTGTTCATATGTAACAGAAAATTCATCGATATGTTGTTCACGTTTTTTTAATTCGAGATATTTTTGTTTTGTATCATCATCAACTGTTGCTGATTTATTTTGTTGTTCAACTAATAATGATGAAGGAATATCATCATTTTCATAGGATTGTTTAAGATTTTCATTGCGTTCTTTTAATTCACTAATTCGCTTTTCCATAGCTGCAAGTTCTTGATTATCTTCTTTAACTTGTTGAGTTAATTTTTGACGTTCTTGTTCAGGTGTAAGAATATTTTTACTTTCATTAGTTAAATGTTCACGTTTTAATTCAAGTTCATAGATTTGTTCAACTAATTGTAATGCATCTTGTTTAATAACTGCACCTGACATTTGCTCACGCATTTTATTCATTCGACCATCAAGTGTAGAAATTTCATTTTGCATTGCATCCATTTGACCTTGAAGTTGATAGGATGTAGATTTTATTTTTGTATAACGTTGTTTTAATTCAGGATTCTAAGAAATAAAAAAATATTTTTAAGAATAAAGGAAAATTGTTTTTTACCATATTTTCTAAAAGTTTTTCAGATTTTCTCTTCTCATCACCAAGATCACGTTCAAGTCGTTGAATTCGTTGTTCTTTCCTATAGGAAGACAAAATAGTTTTTAAATCTATTAGAAAAATAGTTTACCTTTGTTTTTCAAGATAAATTTCATCAATAGTTGATTCAACTTGATGATTATGTGCATTTAAATCTGCAATTTCTTTTTTGAATTCAGCAACTTCACCTGTTGTTTGTAAGCGATCAATAACCTATATATTTAAATAATATATTAAGCTGTTTTTATCAAAAATAAAGTTCATTAATATACCATATTACAATCGGCTAATTCATTACGTAAACTTTCGATTTGTTGTGATAAATCTTCTGCTCTATAATATATATATATATAGAGAGAGAGGGAAAATCTCTTGATTTTATATATTTACGCTTTGCTTAATGCGAAATATTGTTTATTATCTTCAGTAAATGAATCTGTTTCACGTTGTAATCGTTGAATTTCAGCTTCAAGTTCCGATACTTTTGATCTAAGAAAAAACATTATGAAGAGAAAATTCAAATAAAATTATTTACCGAACAAGACCAACGTAATATGTTCGATCTTGTACTTGACGACCACCAAATCCTCCCGCATTTTGAATGCCACCTAATCCACCTCGATTCATTGGTGTATCTTCAACTTTAATTCGCATATTTGAACCAAGTGGACCACCTCGACTTACAGGACGTTGCTATAATAGAAATATCTCTATAGAATAGAATTAATCGATTCATTAGCTTACTCCACTAGCTGTTGTTAACCGACTAGCCGTGCCAATTGGACGGCCACTGCTTGTACCTGGTACTAAATAGCATGAGAAAGATAAGATCTTCTTAGGATAATACGTTTACAAACCTTGCATATTTCTCGATGATGGTGGGATTCCACGCGACATTTTATTTTTCTTTCAATAAAAAAGAATTAACTTCTATGATTAATTTAGTTTGTTCATAACCATTTTGTTGTATGTTCTGAGAAATTGTTGTCTTAGTAACGTGTATTTTCTTACATATAGATGTCGTATTTATTCATTGGACATGCACATATATATTCTTTTATTTAAAAATATAAGTATTGAAAGAAATCAATATTATTCACAATCTAGTGGAGTTAGAGAAATGCACATAAATTTGTTCATAAAACAAAAAAAAACAAGACAAGGCAAGGAAAATAAACAGCACCAAATAAAGATGTATGGAAAAAAAAGAAACAATTAATTTAATTAGTAAATTTTAAAGGACGATAGGAGCGAAGAAGGCGTTTTGCAGTTCGTTCACATTCACGTTCAAATGAAATATCATTTAATGGATGAAGATCCATTGGCACCTAAAATAAAAATAAAAATTAAGAATTATTTATTTCTTTTTCTTTCTCTTTTAACCTGATATGTTTTTGATAAAGCTGTTTGCAAAGTTTTAATGAATTGAATCATTTCTTTAGCAAATAAAAAATAAAAAATCCATGATTTTGAACCTTGATTTCCTTGTTCAATCGACTATAAGAATAAAATCGAGATTTTTTAACATAAACAAAACACGTTTTTTTATTTCTCTTACTAATACACAATAATATTGACATTGAGGATCAACAAATAAGTGTGCAATATATTCAAGTTTCATTGAATCAAGTTGACGAATAAGTGCATTATCTTGTTCATCATGACATACATAGATTTTCTCATCAGTTAATATAAGACTACATGGAACTGTATTTGCTGTATTTTCTTCATCTTTTATTGCCATACGCTATATTAATATAATGAAATATAGATTTTCTATCGGTTAAAACGAGACTTACTCCTTGAGAAAGACCTTTCATAACAGCATGTAACCATTCATCTTGTTCAGTTTTAGTTTTAGCTGCCATAACTAATGTAATATCATTAGCAAACATTATTTCAATTGCATGTGGACGATCAGTACTACGATTTCTTCGACATCCTTGACAATTTTCATCCCTAAATAATAATAATAGTTTATTTTTTCTCTCGCTTTGTTTTTAAAAACGAATATATTTTACTGTAATGTATATGTTAATGAAGGTGTTTTATCTGACTTATGTAGATAGATATTGAGTCGATCAACTCTAAAATAATATATATTGATGAGTAATTAGTTATATAAATATATATACCTAAGAGTGACGTATGCATTTCTCCATGTTTCAAATGGTTGTCGATGAGATTTAAGTGTAGCAGCACTTAGAAGTCTTATAGGTGTTGGTGGTTCAATAAGTTTTACATGAAGAGAACCTTCTTTGCGTAATTTTCTCCCAGACATTTGTGGTTCTTCCCAAAATATATAATGATAATCAAGTAATTTAACATCATGAATACTCTTTTTAATATAAATATATTTATATATAATTTCATTAAAAATGAATTGTTTACCTCTTTTTTCATATCATTAGCTAATTCTTTTTTTATCGATATTTCTTGCATTGTTGCTGGTAAGATTTGTGGTTCGGGAAAACGACCATACTTTGCAGTTTCACGAATAGTAGTACATATATCACTACGAAAAAAGTAAAAGATTCAATTTTGGTTATCGAAATATTTAATCTTACTTTGTTAATTCTTTGCATCCTGTAGTTAGACAACGAAGTTTAGTATGTTTAACGGTAATTATACGAAAGAACTGTTCATTTGGACCAATCTTTACACAATTAAATAATTATTTTTATTTTAGAAAAAAAAGAAAATAATTACTTCAATATAATCAATTTTTTCAATTGGTATACTTTCAATTTTTTCTATTCGATAGGAATCATTAACTTCATTTACTTGCCGTAGTAAATAAATATTATGTGATGTTATAAGAAAATAGACGACTTCTGTATTACCATTATTATGACCAATAGTTGTTGGAAATAACTATTAAAGTTTAGAAGAAAAAACAAAATTGAAGAATTTTCTATTATTACTATAATTACTTTAATAAAATTTTCTCTATTTTCTAATTCATAAACTTCTAATAGGAATTGTAATTGTAGATTTGCATCAGCTCTATAAAAAGAAACTAATTTCGAATAAAATAAAAGTTTTATGCAATCTTACGGTAAATCAAGAACGTCTTCTTCAACAATTTGTAAAAGATCATCATTTTTCTTTTCGATATTTAAATCATTATCAACTGATGCTGAAGATAATACTGAATTTTCGGTATGTTCGGAAATATTGATTGATTCTTCGATAACTGTGGAAGGTTGATTTTCGATTGTCATAGGTTGATTATCAGTTGTATCATCGGTGGGAATTGTCATGATTTGCTCATCGATCATAGTTGATGGTATTGGTGATGGTGTTCGAACTCGACCATTTAACATTGGATCAAGTTCACTTAAACTTGAACTAATTTCTGTTGTTATTGCTGTTGGTATAAGTAAAGGTGTATCGATTAATATAGGTTTCGAATTTGTAGTTTGATTTTCATCATTAAGTGATAACCCATCAATCGATGGATTATCAAAACTAACAGATGATGAACGAGATAAATTCGTTGGATGAATATCCGAAGATACAAAACTATTGACAACAGAAGATGCTGCCGATGTATGATCAGTTCGTTTAGGTACACGTACACGTTCTATTTCATAATTCGGAAATAAACAAATACAAGATTATTATTAAATAAAATAAAAAAACTAACTCGATGTAACAGTCGCACTATGTAATATCGTAGGTGATGAAGGTATATGCTGAACATCATATCTGGATAAATACGTAGCAAATGATGGAACATCATTTCGTACACCTGGTAATGAAAGTTTTTCTGTATCTTTTATATCTACTTGTAAATACGCTGGCCAACAACTACGATCAAAATATACACAGTCCTGAAAATAAATATGTTTTATGTCTAGTAAATTAATGTTAATTTTCGTACTGCTTTTAAATTAAATTGAATATTTTCTAAACCAGAACATAACGTTGTAAGAGTTAATAATCTCTATAAAAATCGAAGAAAATACAAATAAAAGTAATAATTAAATCTTTTTTACTTGAGTATCATTGATTATTGAATCTGCTGTATAGAATTTTTTAATTAATTTTCTATTATCTTGAAAACATTTTATATAACTTTCAGTTAAACTATCATTTAATGCAAAGAAAAACCATGCACGACCGCGACCAAGATCTGTTTCAATATTTAATAACGATTCTATTTGTTTGGATAATAGTTTTGGAGTAAATTCTTTCACACATTTATAATAACCATCTTGTACATATTTTAATCTAGAAATTTTGCAAATATTTATTTAATAAAACTATTGATTGATATTACCCATAGAGTAAAGCAAAATCGAGATGTTCAAGTAGACAATGTACTTGCCAATTATCATTAGTTAGAATTTTTGATGTCTGATCGTCTTCGTCTACAGCTAAACGATGAATCTAAATATTTAATATCATTATTTATTTGATTAAGAAAATAATCGAAACACAAACTTCACGAATGGCAGCCGATATATTTGTTAGAACTTTATCTTTTATTATTTGTGGACCATACAGATGGCTCATATTCATAGAAAACAAAAAAATAAATCTATAAATAAAATAAGAGCCATTATATGAATTTTTTTAATCATTGAGCAGTTCGATTTAATTTAGAAATTACATTTTATTCTAGATAGAAAAACAAAATTAATTGATATTTAATGCATATGAATAACCTATGACCTAAATGGAAAACAAATGATTTAAATTTACATACAAATAGACCTCTGACACGCAAATAATATAGATGTATTTGACATATTTATAGAAGTTGTATGCAAATATAAATCATTTGATTTTCATTACGACTATATATTTTTTTTCCTATAATATTTATTTTACTTAAATCAATTGTTTATATATACAAATGAGTCAGAAGAATATAATCATAAGATAAATATGACTCATTTTCTAGATTACTTGATGAGAAAAAACAATATTTCTTTTTTAATTATCTAAAAAGGAAATGAATTACTTATCAAATGTTCCACTAAATACTCTAAAGTTTTAAGCGTTTAGATAAGATATATTTGCTTGATTTATTATTTCCTATTATACGCAAAAAATTTCGCTTGAAGCACAAAATGATTACTTGAATCATTGTATTAAGGATACGAGAGAAAAAAAAGATAGAATCGAACATCTGACACATTGTAAAACATAACGATAATCAAATAGATTTTTTTTTAGAAAATTTATTATAACAAATAACAGATTTATTGTAAATATTAGCCGCTATGTATTCCTATGATGATGATCGTGCAAATGGTGGTAGAATGATAGAATTTTCAAAATCAGATTCTAATACATATTCATCGGTTTTTTGTTTTTCATCCAGGGTTGTTGATTTTGCATGACTAGTAAACCATTTAGGTTTTAATGCATTCTTAACTGCATTCCATGCAAAATCTCCACTTTGTGCTTGTAAACCTGAATCATTAAGTATATCTTTAACAAATGTTGTTGCAGCTAATTTAACAGTTTCATCATTTAATACTCGATGACTTATTTCTGTTGCTAAATCACTTAACATTTGTTTAGTTTTTTCATCATCAGCTAAGCTTTTTAGTAATATATATAACGCATCTTGATTATCTTTTTGTAAAATAGCACGTCGAAATAATTGTCCAAGTTGAATTTCAGTTTCAGGTTTTTTCATAACATCATATATTATTTGTGATGTAAATTCCGATACATTTTTTTGCATTAGTTGATCAGTCATTAAACGTTGTAAAAGACGAATTAATGTTTCTTTTGTTGAAGGATTATCCATAACATGTTCAAGAAATAAAAGAGCTTTTGATAATATATTTGGATCCGATAAAAGATTTTGTATAAGTTCTTGTGATAAAAGATTTACTTGTTGTTTTACACTATCTATAAAATAATTAGACAAGAATATTAGTGCAGTCACTGAAAACTTTATTTAAACTTTCAATCGAGTGAACTGAAGTGGAAATTGAATTTAAAACTATATTCTTATTTGCGTAGAAATCACTTCAAAGAAACATTACGTTTCATATATCGTATAGAAAAAAACTCTATTCGGTTTACGGTTAATTAAATCCAAAAAAAAGCCGAGTCTCATTTTATGAATAAGTAAGAAGAATGAAAAGAAAAATATTACCTTGCTCTAAACTACTTCTTGCCACATCAGCAACTTGTTGAACAGTTTGATTTTTTAATGGCGTTCGAAAAACATATAAAAATAGAACAGTCGATACAACTACAATTCCCGATCCAATAATAAGTGCTTTAACAACACCACGTTGTTCCCGAAAATGTAGACGTCGTAGAACAGCATCGGTTAGTTCACTTGGTGACAAAGGAGAACGTGTTGACGTAGTCGTGGAATCCTTTTTTGTAGATGATGGTGGTGGCGGTATATTACTTTGTGTTGACAACAATGATGTTAAATGCATTGGTCGATATTTAGTTAATATCAATTGAGGAATAGAATATCCTCTTCGTAAAAAATTTAATCTTGTCAACATCTTTAAGACAAAAAAAAAGAAGAATGAGATCTTTATCGAAAGGTTGAAGGATCATGACTTTCGTTTTTTTGTTTTTGCATATACAGATAATAATCAAAGAAACACACTGTTGAAATAAAAATACAAGGGAAGAATAAGAAATATCTTTTCAATCAATTTCATCTATTACCATAGACGACATCTTACAAAAAAAAAAAGAAAAAGAAATAAATTATTATTCAGTCGTTTTTGGTTCATCATCATCATTATCAGCCATTCGTGCTGCACGAAATTCATTGTAATGATGTTTACGTTTTAATTCAAATTGTTTTTTTCGTTCTACAAAAAAAAAAAAGAAAATTTTTTTATTTTCAAAATTTTCAGTAAAAATCAAACCTAATTCTTCAGGTGTTAATGATTGATCATCAATACGATCATCTTCAACATGTACATGATGTTGATGATGACCACTACCAGATGATATTGAATCTTTTGATTGATGATGAACTAAGATCGGTTTTATTGAATCAATAGATGAGCGTGATGATGATAGACTAAAACAAAATTCTATTTGAATAAATCAAAGCAATATAAACTTACGTTTCATTTCCTTTTCCTTGAGAACCAGTGACAGTATTTTGTTGTTGTTGTTCTTCTTGTTCTAGAGCACGAAGTTCATCTTCAATTTCCTTTTTACGTAATCGAACAACTTCAAATTCATTATAATGTTGTTTACGATGACTTTCAAATTGTTTACGATGTTCTAATATGTAAAATCATATTTAAACTATTTATTAAACAATAAATTTTCTACCTAAATCCATTGATGATGGATCAACATCTTCATCAATTGATCTTCTTTGTATATGATCACTACGTAATTTTACTGAAGGTTGTGTTGATTCATTTAATCTAAAAGGGCAATATGATAACAAATCAAATGTTTTCAATAAATAAAAACCTTTGTGCAAGCGTATCAGGATCAATTCCTGTTGTTGCTGATTCTGTATCTAATTCTTCATCGATAATATCATTCGGTGCATATGGTGTTTTGGGTTCTTCAATTTTCATATGACCATAATCTTTATCAACTGGATGATATGTTGCAATTATATTCATTTCATCAAAATGTGGGATTTTTTGACTAACAAAATAAAATAACAGAATTTAATGAAAAAAGTTTTTTTGATTAGATTTACCTTTTACTCTCCGATCGAGTCATACCAATTCCTTGAGCATTACTTGTTGACGATTTTCTTTCATGTTGAAAATCTTGTCCGGCATCATCGATACTTTTCGTTGATTTAAGTATACTTTTAGCTGGTTGCATACTTAGATTTGCGACTGGATTATGTTCTTGAATCTCATTATTTGACGACATTATGCTTGAGTATGAAATAGAATTATTATGACTATAGTTTGAGTTATGTTAGGTGAAGATTTTTGTTCATCTGAAGACAAAAAAAAAGAAAGAAAAATTAATTTTTATAATCATACTTTAACAAAAACAACGTAGTTGTAGTAGTAGACAATGTAAACATTTGTTATGTCAGACTAAGTAGTAACTTGCCGTTTCTTTTTATTCTGGAAAATTGACGAGACATGCTATTCTCTTTTTCTGTTCTTTTTTCTTTTTGCATTCTCTCTATAGAAATATATGTGTATATACAATACAAACGCATCCAATGAAGACATCATTGGATTATTACCGAGATTAGTAATGACTGTTGTATTCCGCTTCTCTTTTTTTTTTTATAAATATGTGTCATTGATTAATTTCTTTTGAAAGCAAAAAAATTAAATCAAATCAGATGTAAAAAAAACATAAAATGAAGATCGTATGAATGGAATTTAATTTAACATTGCGTGTTACACC